TTATTATTATTATTATTATTATTATTATTATTATTATTATTATTACTGAAGGAAGTAATTTTGTGCAGGGATTGAAATTCACTTAGGTATATCATTACCGTGTGTAAAACTGTACTTCTCATCGAAACTCTCTATTTATTTACTTAATATTTACTATTTCTGTTCTTCAGTCATCATTTAGATGACTGTGCAGCATAGTTAAGTTTTGTGATGGTCAATCATTGCCATTTTGTACAAGTTCAATCCAATGTTAAATTTCATGACCCAAGGTTAAAAAAGGAGAGTAATTATATGGTCGTAGCATAGCCGATTCGGGTGAGTTGTGAAAAACTAAAAATTGTCCAGTTTTCTTCTTCTTATTATTGAATGCTTTTGGACTTGCCTTATTCAAAGCAAATAAATGATGAATAATGCTCAATAATATGGTGGGTGGGGGATAAAACATGCATGGGTCATGATGGCTCAAAAATTTAAATTGTTTTTATTATTGTGTACATCTTTGTTCAATGTAATAATAATAATAAAAATAAAAATGCATCAGTCGGATTGATTAACATATGCTAAATTTCAGTGTAATTTACATATATTTGATTGCTTTTTTTTTTTTTTAATTTAGGCGGTCCACATGCCACGGTTTTCGTCCACGTGCATGCATGTGCCACCACCTTATTTCCGCTATACTTACATCAAATTCTAATCTAATCTACTTAATCCCAATGGTTAATTGTTCATCCTTATGTCTTTTTTTTTTAAAAAAAAAAAAATCAATTAAGATAATATATGAAATAACATTGAATTTTATATGATTGTCATTCTATCCCAATGTTACCTTGCAAATTTGTAATATATGATGAGTGAAAAAAGATAAAAACATAGTCTAAATTTCTATATTTTAAGCGTCCTAAAAAATTTATGGCACTTGTAACAATCAACTGAATAGAGTCATCTATCGAATAATAATTAATTTTGGAGTATTTTCCAAAATAAATAAATAAATAAATCATTTTCGAGTATTTGACTGTTTTAACTGAAAAAATAATAATAATTAAAAAGTAGAAGAGTAAATAAGTTGAAAAATAATACATAAAGTGAGTTCAGTAACAGTATTTCAAGCATCATTTGGAATCATTTCATTTGAGTCTGTGTATTCCACTTTCAAATGTTAGTTTACCAACTAATGGTGAATATTAAATAATGAAATGAAAATGATTTATTCTATCATCTGCATTTGCAAGCACAACATTAAAGCGTGACAATAAAAGAAACAAAGAATGATTAAAAAAAAAAAAACTTGAAAAACAAAAAGGTATTATTTTATTTATTTTTTTAACAGACACTGGGCAAATCCTCCCTATATATAATTTCAGAATGCGCTGAGCTTACGTGGCTGCTTCTGGTGGTTCGAAATCCTATTTGGCGAAGAATCATGCTTTGTAATTAGGTTTGGATAAATAATATTGATATACTAATAATTAATAATCTAGGTTCGGGTATTCCATAAATATTATTTAGCTAATTTAGGTATTTTAATATCACTTTTACTA